GAAATTGCTAGAAAAGCTCAGCAGGTCTGGAAGCATCTGTGGAGAGAAATCAGAGTTAATGTTTCAGGTGGAGTGACCCTTCCTTGAGGGTGGTGAGCTGCAGGTGTAGATTGCTACAAGGGAAAGTGATGTTTGGCAATAACGTGGCCCTGATTCCACAAAAGGTCAAGACTGGGTACTCAATATTCTTAGAGACCTGAAATGTTAACTCTGATTTCTCTCCACAGATGCTATCAGACCTGCTGAGGTTTTCCAGCAATTTCTGCTTTTGTCCTCTCCAGTACCATGTTTTCTCCCACACATCTGTTGTTATATTCTGTATATCCAAATTTGCTAATGCATAACACAGGCAGTAATCTTGAGATTACTGTCTTTGTGACCATGCTTCATGGGCCAGGATTTAAATGGTACCAGGAGGTAAGGTGGGAGGTGTGGTGTCTGGTACCATCACAGATTTAACAGAGTGGAGCTGGAGGAGCACAGCAGGCCAGGCAGCATCAGAGGAGCAGGAAAGTTGACGTTTCGGGTCGGGACCCTTCTTCACAGGATGCTTTTGGAGTGTTTTAATGGCAGCAGAACTGGATGCAGAATTACGTGTCTAATGAGAATTAAATGTCTAATGAGGGGTCATTTTATAATCCCATGAAGGGGGCTTCCTCACCACAGTCTGCTGGGCAAGGTCCATGGGCCAAAGGTGAGCAAGACCGATGACTGCCGACTGTTAGCATCATGTTTTTCTACAAACTTTTATTTTGTCAAGGTTACATCTTGCAGACTCCGGCTCTCCTGAATGTATCAGCAGTGACCCACTCTCCTGGTGGCACTGCTGAGGATTTAGAGCTACCGGCCATCAGTAGCCTGCCACGGCATAGGCTACACAGATAACAAATTGGGCGGCTGCCGGTGGTAAAATTGCTGAGAGGCACCGCTGCTGGTTAGCAAAGCTCAGGATCCATTCTTACACTTCCACTGGCATCCCTTTGTAAAATCAGCCCTTAGTGTCACTGTCAGCTTCCTAACTTCTGCCTGTAGGAACTTATTCCTCTCTGTACCCATGGTGTTGGAACCAATGTGTACCACATCCTCTGACAGCAGGCAATCAGTGACATGTAGGAACCTGCCAGAAGGGAGGCAACATATGATCTTGGAATCACGTCTGTGGGTGCAGACTAGCCTGTCAGTTCATCAGAAACATTTCCAACATTTTCAAGGCATTTCAGCACTGAGCTCATGTGGATGTCTCCTAAACTAGCGGAATCAGCAGCGAGTGCCTCTGGAGAATTCTTCTCACATTTATTGCTGATAGCTTGGAAGCAAAGGAGTTAAACTCACTTTTGAGTGGGGCATGGGAGGGTAGGGGAATGTCTTTACAAGTGTCAGCCTTTACAATTGATTAACTCCAAGCCATCACAATGATATCCCTTGTAACCTGAAGATACACAAAGAGATCAAAGTATCATCCTTCTCACTGACATTACATTATTAACGGTTTCCATCCTACTACCCAAAACAGTAGTGGCAGGGGTCTGCATTTTGTATTGGGGATAATTTACAATCCAGTGTCATGTGTGGCAGAGTCTCTGGTCAATTCTAATTCAGGATGTAGCCCCTGTTTGTGAGCCCTTGGCTCAGCTGTCTCACTCGTGAGCGAGAAGGTTGTGGATTCAAGTAATACCCCAGAGATCTGAGCTCATGTTCTGGGTTGTTGTTTCAATGCAGCACAGAGGGTTTGCTGTACCACTGGAGAGACTATCTTTCAGATGTGATATTAAGCTGAGAACTCAGTGACCTTCTCAGGTTATGTGGCACTATTTGAAGATATAACAACTACAGCGGCACAGATTTGGTATTAACTGTTGGCAAGTCATTTCTTAATCGCCTCTCGCCAATTGCAAAGGAAGTCCTTCCAAAGTCCCAGCACTATTCGGAACCCACCAGAGGAACAACCAATGTGATCCTCATAGCACGCCAACTTCAGAAAAGGTTCAAAGAGCAGGTAGCTCTTCCATATGTGGTTTCTCAACCTCACAAAAGCCTCCGACACAGTGAATTGTTTCCTTTATCCTTCGAAAGATGTAGTTGGCCAGCTAAGTTCACAAGAATCGTTTGTCTCCGACATGGCAGCACTATGCAGAGACCCCTTCCTTGTCAAAACAGGTGTTATACAGGCTGGCTTCATTCCATCACTACTATTCTCAATTTTTCTTGCAGCAATGTGGCAATTTACTACTAACAGGCTCGCCTTGGCATGAAAATAATTTAGCTGATGTACACACTTCAACCTCAACCAGATGAAGGCTACAACCAAGACAACAACAAATTCTTCAATGGAACTACAGCATGCTGATGATATACAAGCTCATTCTAAAGAAGAACTACAGCAGATCAGTGACATACGGACCACAGCCTGCTTGCCCTGAACACCAGGAAGATCAAAGTCCTCTAACCAACCCAAAATCAAATATATTAAATGCAATTGAGATTGAGATTCACGGTGCAGTGTTGGAAAATGCTCCTTATTTCTCATAGACTGGATGCTTTTGATCGCAAAAAGCTAACATTGGTGAAATGGTACACTGCTGAATTCAATTTGCATGCTCTGTTTATGGTCAATGATATCCTCAAGTTTTTGAGAATTGCGATACCAGACCTAACCCTAAACTCAAGATTTCTCAGGCAGTGGTTCTTTCCACTCTTCCCCGTATCTCTGAAGTTTGAACAACATATGAATGGCATATCAATGCTATAGAACAACAGCATTAATTCATCTTAACTAATCTTGCAAATCAAGTGGGAGAACAAAAGAAAAACATAGTTCTTCCAAGACACAGGTAATCCAAGTATGGAGGCCATGGTAGTCCTACACAAGCTTAGATAAATGAGACATCAGATTGTTCATCTCAAAACTGCCTTTATCAAATCCTCTACTCAGATCTACACCAAGGAGACCACTCACATAGGAGACTAAAGAAACAGTTCAAAAACAATGTCATTATCTCCACGAGTGTCTGCACTAGTAATACCAACACAAGCACAATCTAAATGGTGATGTATCATGAACATTTGTGCCAAGATTGTTCTAATCAATAATTGCAGTCACTGTGTGTAAAGAGAGAGAGGGCAGCTGCTGGAGTCAGCAATCTAGCCCAACCACTACCAGCTGACAAATGCCATTTAGGAACCCATGGTCATCTCACTTCCACCCAGCCATCCACAAGGAAGAATCATTTTTCATACCTGGAACTGCCAGAGATAGAGACTCAATGAAGAAAAGAATTGTCCCTCTTGTCCTGGCCAACATTTATCACTCAATCAGAATTGCTAAAATGCACGGTCATAATCTAATTGTCGCAAATGGTACTTGCCTTTGAGAAATTGGTTATCATGCTTCCTACGTTTACAAACATCTTCACTTCAAAAACAAGAAGCTGCATTTGTTATAACGCACTCTGCGTTGTTCTGACGCCTATACATCACTTTAGATAAATGCATTCTTTTCCCCACATTTGATAACCGTCAAGGACAGAAATTTGAAACGTTCAGCAGATCAGTCAACTTCTGCGAGGTGGCATTGGGGCGGAGGGTGCAAACAAGTTGAGACGATAAATCTATCAAGGGCCGTACCTGATGTTCGCTCTGCAGATGTGTTCTGATCTGCAGATTGTCCCCAGTATTTTCTGTTTATGTTTCAGGTCTGAGGCAATTGCCAGTGTTTCCCCGGACACCTCACCCCCTTTGTTTATTACAGTATGGGATCCAGTTGTTACAATGGAATTAAAACAGCATTAAACCACCATGTTCTGTACAGGAGCCACACAACCGGTTTACAATGGGATTATCCCACTAATTTGGTATTGAATTGTACTGAGAACGATATAATTTTACTAAGAGAGCTGCAACACATTAGACACAGCATGAGAGCGGGCAGATTAGAGCGGGTAGGTGTCTATTATTTTTGCTGATGATCCTTCCACAAGGGACCATACCGACAATGAAACGGGAAGGGAGAGTGGAGAGGAGTAGATGGCATTTTAGGGCGGGAATTAAATACATGGAAAGTGAGAATCCTCTTTCCTTGTGTCGATGACAACACGATAGAGTGTTTCTGAGATTTTGCTATTTCAAGTGTGTTGTTTCGTTCCTCCCAAATCCCTTTCACATCAGCTACAAGTGTGTGCGCCTGGGTACAATCCGAGACTTGACTGATCGTGTGAAATTAAAAACCCCTCCCTTCCCCAGTTCCTCAAAAAATAGGTCGTACACGCAAACTTCGTGGAAAGAATATCGCAGTACTTTCAAAAGGCATATTTGGGGCGTACAATTACTAAACGTAGATCTTTCTGTTTCGTATGTAATGAAAATGCATCTATTAAATCAGTGGACCGAAAAAATAAATACCTCATCTTATTTAAGAATCACAAGGATAGTTTACATTTTAAAGAATCGATTTATTTGTGCTGACATCTCAGCAAGGCAAAATACATTGAATGTTTCTCGATGCCCCCGAGCCCAGTGTAAGATCCCAGCTGCGCATTTTAAAACGTGTCACTCACACATCTTTGCTACTTGAGAAAGTAGATGTGTTGATTGATTCCACAGTGCAACGGGATCGGGCTTTGGCAATGCTTTCGTGTTGTTTCTGCATGCGGTCTTTAAATGCTGTTTGTGACCTTGCACAGGGCTAGGATGCAACGAGAGACTCTATTGTGATCTTTAGTCCTTCAATGGCGCAGTTACTCAGCCCTGACCAGATTTTCGTGAATGAAACCCGTCATCAGGCCAGTTATCAATCAGGGACACGCCCCGCCTTCTGATTGGCGGACACCGACCTATTTTTGTGAATGTCGAACAGACACGTTCGGAGTTTGACCAATAGCAGCCAAGAAATCTCCAATTCCGTTTGTCCATTGGCTGGTCGGCATTTTCAGCGTGGACCAACGGGTGGGGCCCGCAAAATGATTGACGGCTCTCTGGACCAATTGGCAGCAGCGTTGGGTTTGGTGCGCGAGCCCGAGTTGCCTCTGGGGAAAGAAGTCGCGTTCACTTCAACTGAGCGAAAAAAAACCCCATTCAACTTTTTTGTGAGCGGAGATTCAGGAGTGCAACTGTGGTGTTTCTTTAATTTCTAGAAAGTGCATTTTTTTCAAAAAGAAAAAATCATCCACTAACACAATACAAATCATTTCATAGGTAAGCAGATATGATAGCTTGATTAAGATTTTTTTTAAAAAAGGGAAAACGAAAAAAGGAAGGGAAAAGTAAGTGTTGCACCAAAAAAAACTAAACATAAATGCTAACGAGAGCTTGTGTTGCTAATGTTCGCCATTTTCTTCAACACGTCTTAATGTATCTGGAGCAGTGAGTTGTAGCCTGTCGATGTGATTTTGTGCAGATAAACGAACGGTTTTTTCACTGAGGTGTGCTCAGGGCGGTTGCCTTGAGTTTAAAGGCCGCCGAAAAAGCGAGTTGTTGGTTGTGTGGGAGGCTGTGGGTGGGTGGTTGGGTTGAGCTGTGTGTGTGTTTGTGTGTTTGTGTGTTTTTGTGAATGGGGCGCTCGGATCCCGTTACGCTCCTACCTGTGGCCAGCCAGCCAGCCAGCCAGCCAGCTTCTCCCATTCATAATTTTCTCTCCTGTCTCCCAGGAGGAGCTGCAGAGCAAAAGGAAACAAAACAACTACACAAAAAAAACGCCACTCAGTAGCGTTCCGCGAGTCCATGTTAATGGTTTGTAGCAGGACTTTTAAGAAAAGACCAGCTACAAAATGGACGGATTTTACGACCAGCAAGTTCCTTTTATGCACAATGTACCGGTGAGCAAATGAAATCTTCACTTTTTCTTTGTTTTGAAGAAAGATCTTTACAATCAGGATTAATTCCTTAAGTATCAAGAAAGTTGCACGGATTTGTGCTTTAGGAGATGTATACACTTTAATGCATTATTTTTGTGTGTTATTTCTTATACTCAATTTTCTACGTGAATTTAATTCTGTTTCTCAGAAAACACACGTGGAAGAGCTTCGCGGCAGACAAGTGAACGATAGAAAAAGGAAATTTGTGGAGACCGACCTTGCTCATGATTCAGAAGGTGAGTGGCTGCCGTTGAGTGTCTAGGTGTACTTGCAGTCGTCACTTTTCTGATCCCGCCGTTATGACCTGCCTCTTTCATTATTGGTAATGTTTCGTTTTTCCAGAACTTTTTCAAGATCTGAGCTTGTTACAAGAAACGTGGCTAGCAGAAGGTAAGTAAAGTGTGTTTCCAATCATCTTCAGCTGTATCGTCGCATGTTTTGTATTTTTCAGTTATGAATTGTTCATGTATAAATGCTTGACCTTGAGATACCAGTGGGATTTACTATTAAAAGATTTCTTTTCCCCTGCAGCCCAAGTTCCTGAAGAAGATGAACAATTTGTACCAGATTTCCAGTCGGTTAACTGTAAGTATTTTTTTTAATATAGGGAAAGTGTTGGTAATTTCGTTTCATGTGGTGGCCATCCTAATGCATATACTGTGCTGTAATAACCTCTCCCTTGCTAACTAGAAATGTTTTGGATTCAGCCCTTTTGTTGCAGTTTCTGCTAGAATTTCAATAATATTAGTTTTAAATATTCAGAAAGTGTATTAGTGTCTAACTTAGGCCCAGAAAGATTGTAGTACAAAGCAGTATTTGAAATTACAGTATGTAACTTCCTTAAGATCAGTAATTGTTATTTTTAGTTTTTAATTAAAATGTTAATATCTGTTATATCTTTATCCCTGCTGTGTTGATTCTGTTGAGATGCAAATTTTTCGGTGAGCTGGATGTAATCTTGGTTCAGATTTGCGCTGCAATTTAGAATCTTTTGGTCAAATGGTGATTACAGGATAGTGGAGCTTTCTAAAAGCTTTCATTTGATTTGATCACTTCCAAATGCTTTTCGCCACTAAAACCTTACAAATATATTTAAATATGGGGACTCATTAGAACTGCTTAGGTCTTTTTGAGAAAATGGTGTTTTGAATGTCTTCACCTCATGTTGAGGTATTCAGAGGAATATGCTCTCAGTATTTATTTGTTTGGTTATTTCCAGACTATCTAGACCAGTGGGCATTCCATTTTATAGCATGTTCGTGGAAGTAGATTTAAAATAGTGATAAATAAGTGAATCTTTGTGCCACCTGACTCCCTAGCAGATAACGAAAATTCATGGTAGAAGGATTTTGGTGTATATATCATTTGTTAAATTTAAGGAAGAGATAATGGTTTTCGTTTAGCTTTTTCAGAAAATAATCATACGAATATTTTGGTACCGATTCCTGTCTCTCAGTCCTGACATCTATCAATTTAGAAACTTTTAACTTGTCTTCCTTTTAGATTTCAGTTGACTAACACTGAGTGACTACAGATTTCACTGGGATCCACTATCTCAATCCTATGAACTGTTTCAGTGACTAATTTTATATAAATAGATTCAATGGAAAATGTGGATGTGATCTGTAGTTTGCCTTTGCGTCTTTCATTTTTGGCCCCTTGGGAAATTGTAGAGTCCTGTAACAATCATGTGACCACCTTGATATTTTGGGCATTGAGAAGAAGGTTTGGCACAAAGCCAGGACCCTTCAAGTCAGATTTGCCAGACCCAGCAGCATTTGATGTTGACTCTTTGTTGGTTTGCTGAGATGAATTGTCTGCAAAAGTCCAATTTAGTCTATCTTCACTTTTATCTTTTTAACCCTGGAAACACTAAACATTTTTGAACCAGATAGTTCTCTAACATTTCATTATTTATATTAGACACTGATCAAGAACGATGACTGAAACTTGACCATCTGATAGCAGTGTTAAATATTAGTTATTGTGATTTGTCTCTGGCTTTGAATAGCTTCCTATGTATGTTTTTGTTTCCTTTTATTGTGGTGAAGCTTACCACAATAGATCAGTCAAAGTCATTAATGAAAAGATGAAAGACTTGTATTTAACTGGTGCCTTTCATTACCATGGGATATCCCAATTTGACAGCCAGTAAAGTACTTTTAAAAAGTGTAGTCAGTGCCATAATGTGAAACATACAGCTAAGATTTTGTGAAGTAATATTATTTTTTTTCTTTCTACTACTTTTGGTTAACTATGCTTACAGATTGCAAATGCTTCCAAGTAAAATTGTTCTGCAACCATACTGTATCCTTGTTGACTTTGTCTTTTTTTTTATATGTATAACAAAAACTAATGGGCTTTCCCTTTTGTTTTATTTTACTCCAAAATATTAAATGTGAATGTATAAGTCAAGGGCATTTAGTCTTCTTGCTTTTAACCTGCGCCACTGGAGGAATTATGGCAGATGAAACTGCTTTATTTGGAAGTTTATTTTTTCATTTTCTGGTTGAGATATTAGGACCCACCTGTCCAGGTGGGACTTGAACTCAAATCTTCGGGCTCAGAGATGGAGATATTACCACAACACCACAAGAACCACATTTGGAAGATTTTCTTTGTGCAATATTGCAACCACATGGAGAGCTGTTAGTGAGCTGACTTCTCTGAGCATGATAGTTATTGGAACTGCATTGCAGAAGGAATTGTGGATTCAATTCCTATTGGAATTTCTGACCTCAGCCTTACCATTGGATATTGCTGATGATGACTTCTTTATAATTCCCAATGGCCAGTTGCAAAACCACAAGGATAAATATCAACAGGTGGCCTGACTGCTCTGTCAGGGAATACACAGTGGCATGAGGGCAGCTTGAGGTTGTGGGAATGTGACAATGTGGAGAATAAGAAAAGGTAGTGCTGGTGCATGTGGTCAATGCTTTTCTTATCTAAATGTGGATCCTAAAAATGATGTAATAAGCAAGTTCCTTTGCAGAAAATCAGTGCAATTTATAGCCCTTTTTAGTTTTGATTAGTGACTTTCACAGAGAACATTTGTTCCGTCAGTCTATTTTTAATTTGTCAAGTGAAGCTTGAACAGAGAAAATGCATGCCTGTGTGCATTTTTAGAAAATGACACCAATGCAAGCATCTTTTTAATTTTTCCCGACATACATTTCACTTAGTGTATCTTGCCTGTTCGCTTCTCCCCTGCTGAAATGTGCCTAACCAAAAACGTAATACTGTCACCGCAACTTTCTCAAAGTACAAACAACAGCAGATGCTTATTGGAATGAAATGGCATTCTTCAAAAATAAACTGCTGTTGAAGCAATTTATACCACTGAACAATGCTATATTAGAGAACAGTGATTTTTAACTTAATTTATAAAGTTGAAACTTGTGTTGTGCAGAATGCTCTTTGTGGATAAAGAGTGCATTTTGTTTCTCTCACTTCCATTCCCCAACACCTCAACATTTAATTTCCATTCACTAGGGAGTGCTTGCACATGCGATGATCATCAGTTCGGACCAAAGGTGGTAACCTCCAAAGCATGGTTTTGATTCTTCATATGGCAATCCAGTCTAATGGTTCTAATGAGAAATAGAAAGCCAACCTTGATTTCCAATTCTAATAAGAAACAAAGCAATTTTGCATTGTAAACAAATCTCTCTCGTACCAGCATAACAATATGCCTGCCCGCCCGCCCACCCACCCCACTCCCTCCCACACAATCTCCTCCGTATGCCATTCCTGATGTTCCGTGTCTGTGCTCGTATTCTAGATCCTATTCACCAGTGCAGATATGTTGTACATTAAAGATGCAGAATGGGTGATTTTTATGCAAAATGAGAACACACTTGGCATCAATTTCAAGAATACTTAGCCAGCTCCTGCCATTGTAAACAAAATTGCCATTCCGTAATGAAAGCATACAAATGAATTAAAGCAGCTCTTGCTGTATTCTCAAGAGTGCCAGGTTCAAATTCAGAAGGCTTTTTGATCAGGTGCTGCTGATCAACCTAAAGAGATCAAGGTTTTATTTGGTTGACAGATACCATGTTGTTTATTGGGTACAGTAATGAGGTTTGCAGATGTTTGCTGAAAGCTTTGTGATGGAAATCATAGAATCCCCACAGTGTGGGAACAGGCCCTTCGGCCCAACAAGTCCACACCGACCCTTGGAACATCCCACCCAGACCCATCCCCCTATAACCCACCTAAGTTACACATCCCTGAACACTACTGGCAATTTAGCATGGCCAAACCACCTAACCTGCACATCTTTGGACTATGGGAGGAAACCCGTGCAGACACGGAGAGAAAGAATGCAAGATGAGGTTTAAGCTTTAGCTGATTTCTATTCTACAAAATTGTTACTAAAACACACTTCCAAATGCATTTAAGTAGATAGCGCTGAATCTAACTAAAAGTGAGTTTTCTGAAGCTGTGCTCTATTGTAGTGTCCATGTGTCGTGTCAGACTGCAGACTCCAATCACTCCAGCCATGGGATTCACTTGGAGCAACATTTACAGATTCTTTGGTATAACAGTGCCAGGTTCAAACTTGATGCAAGCTGCTATAATTTGCTTTGTTATTCAATACCAACTCCATTTACAATGGCAGAAGCTGGTTAAGTGCTCTTGAAATTGATGCCAAGCACATTCTCATTGTTTACAGAAACTTCTTCATCCCTAATGCCTGTAGTGTAGTAGGATTGTACTGGTAAATGGGTTTGACCGGATGAGCCCAGATGTGGATTAGATATGAGTGATGGTACTGAAGAGTTTGTGGAGTAATGAGATAGGCGGGTATACTTTTATGCTGGCAGGAGAAGGATATTTTTTTCCCCCATGTATCCCAATTCTTATTGAATCCTTTGAGTTCCACACAGCACAAGTTTATCAATATACAAAAGAAGAATCTCCTAATGCTGTTTACACTCTCCACAGCTGCCCTGCATTACTGTTTGGATGGCCACTTGTTGATTGTGCTGATCCTTAATCTTAGTGAAGAGTTAAGGTTATTGCCTTGGAACTGTGTCAATATTTAAGCAGGAGAAGAAAAATGCTGCTCAACTTGTAACTTTCAGCATTGTTGTGGTTTGGGTGATAGCTATCTTTAATTCAGTACTTTATTGATAATTTGATATGGCTGGAGGCATAGCTTGGGAGATATAAATGGTCTTTTTTAGACCAATGTGATAGGATTAGCATGTTCTAATAGCACTTTCCTCAATATAACAAATTTAATATTATATGAGAAAATGACAGTAATAAGGTATGTTAATCTTGGAAATAAACTACTGTCAAACTATCATCAACAAACCCATTCTTCATGCTGTGCAGCAGTAATCCACTGTTAGTATCTTCATGCTCCATTAAGTTTTCAAAAGTAGGAACGATTATTGTTCTTTCCTGCCATCTAGAGAATGGCATTTTATAATTTTCTTTTCCCTTTTTTGGAGTTTCTTTTGGCTTCTTGAGCTCATTATCTACATTTCATTTGCAGCTCCCTGAAGAGTGCTCTACTTCGTCTATTGCCTTGCAAATCAGCAGAAAATAAAAAAGTCTGTTTATAGTGG